TGTTTGACGACGTCACGCTACAGGCTGCCACGGCGCGCTTTGTGACGCGCGCGTGACGCGCTCGGCGAGAGCGGCCGCTTCGCTGCACGTGGCCTCGCTCCGAGCCGTGCCCGAGCGCCACCGGCCACACGAATTGTGATTTCACTGCTGCTGCTGCTGCTGCCACAGAGCTTCGTGGCTCCCTTCACCCACCGCTACTCACGCCCATCGAGGTCTCTCACAAACATCGCCGTGCACCGGTTTTTTTTTTTCCATGCGGATCGATGCTGCCGCTCGCCAAATGCGCATCGAATGCGCGGGTTTTAGAATCGAGGTCCTCGCGATTAATGCTGATGCTGCCGTCTGGATAACGACGCAAACACGAAGTGCACAAACGGAACAGTAAGACTGGGGCGCAATGCTTACGTGCGTACGTGCACGCATACACAACGTTCATTCAGATGCACACACAGCATAAAAGATACCCCGTGTAGCCTTGACAGACTGTAGGGGCAAGTGCTGTTAGCGAGCACCTATGAAGGCCGTCACGGCACACGAGGGGGTGGGTGTCCAGCACCACGCCCGGCCGCCTTTGCCTCCCCAGTGAAGATGATTTACACACCGCACCAGGTACTCGTTCATGGCCGAGTCAACCTAGGGGATTCCCAGGATTGGTTTGGATAGCCGTCACTGGTGTTGGCTATGAGCGGGAATCGAACTCGGGCGGCCGGGTGCGTAGCGCAGCGCGCTAACCTCTGCCCCACCGCTCCCCACAATGTCCACACAAAGATCCCCACCCCGCGCAGAGCCTTGACAGACTGTTGGGGGCACACCGGGTGGCCAGCATTATACACGCGTACATACAGACAGACAAAGACACACACACAGAGACACGCGTACATACAGACAGACAAAGACACACACGGAGACACGCGTACGTACATACAGACAGACAAAGACACACACAGAGACACGCGTACGTACATACAGACAGACAAAGACACACACACACACAGAGACACGCGTACATACAGACAGACAAAGACACACACACAGAGACACGCGTACATACAGGCAGACAAAGACACACACACAGAGACACGCGTATATACAGACAGACAAAGACACACACAGAGACACGCGTACATACAGACAGACAAAGACACACACACACAGACACGCGTACATACAAACAGACAAAACACACACAGAGACACGCGTACATACAAATAGACAAAGACACACACGCAGAAACACGCGTACGTACAGACAGACACAGACACACAGACACACGCGCACAGACAGACAAAGACATACGCGTACATACAGACAGAGAAAGACACACAGACACACGCGTACATACAGACAGACATACACAGAGGCACGCGTACATACAGACAGACAAAGACACACAGACACACGCGCACATACAGACAAAGACACACACAGACACACGCGCACATACAGACAAAGACACACACACAGACACGCGTACATACAGACAGACAAAGACACAGAGACACTCGTACATACAGACAGACAAAGACACACACAGACACACGCACGCACTGTCACTGAATCATAGCCACCACCTCCCCCTCCACACTCCCACAAGAGCGATTCTCACAGCGGAATCGATACGCTGCGAAATTGAGTCGCGCGTCCGACCCTGCCGCGGGGGGAGTCCAGCCCCCCCGCCCCCCCGGCCCCCCCCCGTGTCATAACAGATGCGGTAGGGGGGGGGGGCGCTCGGTGCGGGGTTCCCTCCACTGTGTGTCTCACACGTGACTGCGTGTGTATGTATGTGTACGCACACAAACATACACACACATGCGACAAAGATCCCCTGTAAGTTGCTGTTCGCGAGTGAAGCAGCACCTGTGATGGCCGGCACGGGTGAGGGGGTGGGTGGGGGGGGGGGGGGGCAACACCACGCCCGGCCGCCTTTGTCTCCCCCACATATACACACACACGCACGTGCACCCGGACACCCATTCACACGCACACGCGCGTCAGCAGTGGCTGTAACGAGCTCGGGGTGAGCGCGTCATTGGAGGGGACGTTGAAAACTCTCGTTACATGCGTTTTTATTTTGTCGCGCCACGTGCGTTCGCAATAATTCACCGGACGTCTACCGCGCAACGGATTCCTCCAGTCTCAATAAACATTCCGATTGGGAGATGTTTAATTATACGGGCGTCAATATTCCATCTCCGCCGAGCCGATTGGTGGCCCGGGCTTTAATGGCATCCGCCCCGGACGTTTTTCCACCACCAAAACACCCATCACGGTTTATATGCACGACGCGTGTTGGAGCTGCTGCTGCTGCCGCCGCTGCTGCTGCCGCTGCTAATGGCAGACTTCATAAATCGGGATCACTTTGTCTCTCTGCCAGGTGCAAGTGAAGGCGGAGGGGAGGGGGGCTACACGGGCTGAATTATATCAAACAAAAGACAAAGATCCCCCGTATAGCCTCAAGAGGACCGTGGTGAAGAGGCTGCTGTTCGCCAGCAGCAGCTATGAAGGCCGGCACGGCGGCACGAGGGGGTGGGTGGCCCAGCACCACGCCAGATCGCCTTTGTCTCCTCAGTAAGCGATGTTTACACGCAGCACCAGGTGCTCATTTGAGGCTGAGTGGACCTAGGTGGAGGTCCAGAACCGATTCAGATAATCGGTTCTGGACCTCCACCTTCCCGTGCGCGGGAATCGAACTCGGGTAACCAGATTCGCAGCGCGGCGCGCTAACCGCTGCACCACCGCTCCCCATCTGCGTTGGGTGATCAAGACCAACACAGAGGACACGCACGCGCACGGGCGTCGCGCGTGCAGACAACGCCTGTGGCACACCGAGGTGGTTCTGACACGAACGGGTGGGATGGGTCGGCTAAAAGTCACCACAGTCATCATCACCATCAGCCATATCATCAATCCACTGCTGGATGAAGGCCGTCTCCACCCCTGACGGTGCTGCAGCAGTAGCAATGTACATGAGACACAGCACCCGCGCACGAGTTGCCTCTACGTACGTGTGCGCGTGTGTTACTCGCATAACCTACGTAGGTTTGCATGTGTAACACATTAAAAATGTATGCTTGCTCCTATGTATGCACAACTGATTTAGCGTTCGTGGCTGTGAATTATTGTGTGTGTGTGTGGATCGCGAGAGTAGTGGAGTTAGGCACCCGCTCGCCGCTAGCTTCAGTGAGGATATATCTGAACCGGTCCTGGGCCTCACCTAGATCGACTCAGCCTCAAATGAGCACATGGTGTGGTGTGTACACGTCACTACTCGAGAGACAAAGGCGGCCGGGCGTGGTGCTGGCCACCCACCCCCCTCGTGTGCCGTTCCGGCCTTCACACTCCATATGGTGCTCGCTGAACAGCACTTGCCTCAATAGTTTACTTGGGCTACACGGGGGATCTTTGTCTTTGTGGTGGTCGTGTGAATGTGTAAACATCGTCACGAGGGAGACAAAGGCCGCCGGGCGTGGTCCTGGCTACACCACCCCCTCCCTCCCCCCTCTTGGCAGAGAGCTCTCTGACGAAGGGCCATTGCCCAGAACGTCGCCTCTGGTTAAAGCGGTCCCTGCTTTGGGCCGGCGTTGTTAACGACCGCGTGATGAAAGTGGGCGGGGGGTGAAAGTGGGCGGGGGCTGAAAGTGGGCGGGGGCTGAAAGTGGGCGGGGGGTGAAGGCGTCAGCAGCGGTGCAAGGGTGGGGGCGAGGCGAATAGTGGGGCTGAACGATTAATCGATTTAAAATCGAAATCGCAATTTGAATTGAAAAGTCCTATTACTTTCTTATTGGAATTGTTTCTTTTTTTATTATAACTTTATTTAACTTAACAATTGTTCTATGTTTGATTGTTCTATTTCAATTAAAACATTTTAATAAATACATGTGGGAAACAATTCATATATTTTAAGTTCTCACCCTTGCATTACAATATATAGAGCAGTTCATATTTTGATGGCATCACGTGGTAATGCTCCATCACATGTTTTAAATCGATTACACAGTGAATATTGAACTGAAGGTTGACTTTAAAAAAATTGTAATCGCAATATCTGTCAGAAAAATCGCAATTAGATATTTTCCCCAAATCGTTCAGCCCTAGCGAGGAGCGATCGCTGTGTGTGGGGGGGGGGGGGGCAGGGGGGGCACGGGGGGGGACACTCGCAGGGAGGGAAGTTGAGCCGATCTGCATTACAAGCCCAGAGGTCAATTATTTATCCAGGAACGGTGTTTTTTTTTTTGCCTCGTCCAACTTTCCGGACATCAGTCACACAAAGCGAGGTTGATAATGACACTCTCGGGCTCGTATAATATAATCGGCGCCGCTTAGACGAACTAAATGCATGACCAAGTCCATAATTGGCTTAGCCATTCCGTTCCGTGTGATTCTACGGAGCAGGCCTGGCGAATTCGGTGAGGGCAGTTGGTTGGTGCGTGGGTGGAGAGGGGCGGGCGGCGGCGGGGGAGGGGGAGAAGGAAGATTTCACAAAGAGAGCGAGGATAATGAATAATTTGGCTCAATATGAATAAATCTGACATTTCCACAATGTACGTTTAAAAGTATGGATAGCATTGAATCGCTATGACATCGCTGCACGCACACACAATCTCGCGCGTGGAACCTCACAGATGCAAAGATCCCCCAGGTAGCCTCTCCGACTCTTGGGGCAAGTGCTGTTAGAGAGCACCTGTGAAGGCTGTAACGGCACACAAGGGGGTGTGTGGCCGTACCACGCCCGGCCGCCTTTGTCTCCCCAAGTGGCAATGTTTTTACACATCGCACCAGGTACTCATTCGAGGCTGAGTCGACCGAGGGGAGGCCCAGGACCTGCTCAGATAATCGTCACTGCTGTTGGCCGTGAGCAGGACTCGAACTCGGGTCGCCAGGCTTGTAGCGCAGTGCGCTAACCGCTGCACTACTCTGACACACACACACACTGACACACACACTGACACACACTGACACACACTGACACACACTGACACACACACACAACGTGACCGTACCTGTTGATGGAGGAGACGCTGGGCACCGTGTCGGTGTCACAGACGCGCTCGGCGAGCAGGCGGTCCCGGATCTCCCAGGCAAACATTGTCGGGTTCTGCCGCTTGTATTCCGCTATCTTGTCCACCACCTTGGGAGTCGCCACCTTGGGCTTGGAGCCTCCGATCACCCCCGGGCGGATGCTGCCTGTCTCGTAGTACCTGCAAGCGCTCGGCACCCAGCGACACAGAGACCATGGTATTACTACTACAAAGACGGAGACAAAGATCCACCGCGTAGCTTCACGGTAACATGCGACTCTACGGGTGTCGGCGGGTCGCTGCGTGAGTCGATGGGTCTCTGCGTGAGTCTATTCGTCTCTGCATGAAACTCTGGGTCTCTCTTTTATTCTATGAGTTTATGTGTGAGTCTGTGGGTCTCTGTGTAAGGCTATGGGTCTCTGTGTGAGTCTATAGGTCTCTGTACGAGTCTCTGGGTCTCTGTGTGAGTCTATGGGTCTCTGTGTGAGTTTATGGGTCTCTGTGTGAGTCAATGGGTCTCTGTGTGAGTCTATGGGTCTCTGTGTGAGTCTATGGGTCTCTGTGTGAGTCTATGAGTCGATGTGTGAGTCTATGGGTCGCTGTGTGAGTCTATGGGTCTCTGTACGAGTCTCTGGGTCTCTGTGTGAGTCTATGGGTCTCTGTGTGAGTCTATGGTTCTCTGTGTGAGTCAATGGGTCTCTGTGTGAGTCTATGGGTCTCTGTGTGAGTCTATGGGTCTCTGTACGAGTCTCTGGGTCTCTGTGTGAGTCTATTGGTCTCTGTGTGAGTCTATGGGTCTCTGTACGAGTCAATGGGTCTCTGTGTGAGTCTATGGGTCTCTGTGTGAGTCTATGGGTCTCTGTGTGAGTCTATGGGTTATTTTTGGTTTTCGTTCTGATGTTGTTGGTGTTTGTTTTACTTTTGTCATTTAGGTGACCCATGTCACTCTTGCAAATTGCACTCCTATCCTGGTCTCTCTCTGGAGTTCTCGTCGGGTGACACAAAATCAACGTGAACCTTGCTGTTGGGACAAGCAGCGTGGCCAGAACCGTTGCTGATGTTTTACACACGGGTATTAGGGACTCAATTGAGTCTAGGTAGACCTAGCGGAGATCCAACGATAAGTTCTGATTTCACTTGCCACCGGTATTGGCCGTGAGTGGAAATCTCACCCACATGGTAGCAGAGTACACATACCATTACACCACCGCTCGCCACATTACTACTCCAAAAATACAACAAAGATCCCCCATATAGCCTACATAGACTGTTGGGGCAAGTGCTGTGCGTGAGCACAGACTACTAGTACACACATACAAGTTACAATCGCTTACAATACAATGTAGGTGTATAAAGCCTCTACACAACTTCACATCTCCATCATTACCACACACACACACACGGAGCTACTACACACAGCATCGTACTCTGTTCCTAGCCTGGTGCTCGCCATGAGAATGTGGAATGCACATGAACTCCACCCCGCGCCGGGAGACACTTCGCCTTGCCGTTACATTTTATAAATCCAAGCGTTGGAAATGCCACGTTCCTGTATCGCTATGTATCTACTGTTCGAGGAGTACAAGCTATGGATCACATTGGGCCATCGCCTGAAACGTCGCCTTGTTTTATAGTCACCCTTTGAAGGCCACGGTGTCATTGTAACTCTAGGCACTACAGGTTTATTGGAAGAGCGGCAACAATGAGGCAAGAGTGACGGGAGGTGGTCGGTGCGTGCCGGAATGAATGCCGGAACAGCGTTCCGGTCTGTTCCGGCTGAAACCAATCACGGCTCTGTCGATGGGCGCAGCACACACAGCACGTACACAACAACATCATCACAGGCATCCTTAAGGGGTATATAAGTAACTCATTCATTGAACCGATAAGTACGCCTCCTTGCTTCCATATCTGCTCTGCCAAATGATATATCTATCATTATTTTAAAACAAATGTTTCCATTTTCACATTGGGCTATTGCCCGAAACGTCGCCCAGTATGCATCGTTTTGGGACCGCAGCGTCATTGACGGATGTGTTGAAGTCTTGGAAACGTATATTTTATTTTGCAGTAACAAAATAACGGGGTTTTTTTTCGTGTTATTTCCAACCGCGTTCGTTTAATGCGGCCACGGCGATCTCGCCGTGCGGCGAGACCATCGGCAGCGTGTGGCGGGCACGCGTGATGCTGGTTAGCGGTTCTGCCGGCGCTCGGCACCACCACCATCATCATCATAATCATGGGGGCCTCCGCGCGCTCTCGACAACAGCTGGTGGCGCGTCGCTCGCCCAGCGCAGGCAGACAGAAAGAAGCAAAAAAAAAACCACAAACGCCACGCAAGCCCGACAAACTCGTGCCCTCGATATAATCATCGGAAGCTGTCGTAGTCGCCACGCGTCGTGATTGTGCGTTGCCCCCCCCCCCCCCCTCTTTGTTGTCGACGTCTGGCGTTTGTTGTTGTGCGCAGGCGTGGCGATTCCCTGAACCGGTGCTGGCACCCCCCCCACCCCACCCCACCGCACCGCTCCTAGGTCGACTCAGCCTCAAACGAGTACCCGGTTTGAATGTTTACTAGACATCGTCACCAGGGAGACAAAGGCGGCCGGGCGTGGTGCTGGCCACCCAATCCCCCCCCGAGCGTGTAATTCCGCGGCCTTCGTAGGCGCTTGCTCGCTAACAGCCCCCAACGGTCCGTCAAAGGCTACACGGGGCGATTCTAGATTTGAAGTTTTCGTGACTGCAAGGATCCATACTCTTTGGTTCTTTCGGTAAAGTCACGTAGGTGAAAAAATTTAATAAAATGACATTTTTAAAAAATATTTTATTTTTATTTTTTCACCTACGTGACTTTACCGAAAGAACCAAAGCGCATAGACGGGGGACCTTTGTCTTTGTCTCGCCAGCGATGACAGCATGAGCGGTCCACGCTTCGATGGGGGTCTCCCTCTTCAAACAAGTGCGGGGTGGCCCTGACGCAGCGGTGGAAATTCCCCAGTCCTATGGCAGGAGCCAAGTATATCGACAGAACAACCGACGATGCCTCTCTGACAGCCGTAATCGTTCCGTCGCGACGAAGCAGCGGCGGTAGCGACCTCAATTTAGCCCCATTGATTCTCAGCTCTCCTTGAGGTATTGGACAATACCCTCGTTGATGATCACGTTTGATTTCATTTCAAAACTACGACACGTTCCCGTTTAGCGTTGTTGTTGTTGTTGTTGTTGTTTAACGTCGTCGAGGGGGGTGGGGGCGTCTGATGATGCCAGCGCGAATTTTTCTTTGACATTTGCGCAAACGCGTGGATGTTTGTGGATTGCGATGCGTGGCCCGCTTGCCGTGTGCCGTGTTCCACGGGTTTCATTGAGCGACAGCGTCTCTCGGGCATTTACGCATGCACGCAACTTCTCCTCCTGCCGCTCCAAAATATATACATGTGTGTAGAACCACGAGGGCAACCCCGAGAGGCCTTCACAAGCCGAGATGTAACGAGTAAAAAACACGTCTATAAATATACACATACTTGTACAAACACAGAGATTCCCCCCCCCCCCTCCCTCGTATAGACTGTCAGGGCAAGTGCTGATAGCAGCACCTACGAAGGCCGGAACGGCGCACGAGGGGGTGGGTGGCCAGCACCACGCCCGGCCGCCTTTGTCTCCCCCAGTGCCGATGTTTTTTCTACACCGCTCCAGGTACATATTTAAGGTCGAGTTGACCTAGGGGAGGCCCGGTTCAAATGATCGTCATTTATTAATGGTCTTTGTGTTTATATATACAGGGTGGCCCAAAAGTCAGGACACAGGGTTATTTAATTCATTTTAACGCTGTAACATTAACATTTGTAATTGTTCATTCTTTAAGTTCGTTACTGTATTAATATATATTTATTCTGCTTCCTGTGGGGGGTCACCTCAAATCTGTCGTTTATAAAAATAAAAAAAAAACGTAAAATAAACTCGACTGAGAACCCTGAATGAATTGAGACGAAACATCATGGATGATTGTTCAAAGATTACACCGCTGTAATCTTAAACCAAACAATTAATATCAAAAGAGAAATAATGCATGCGTGCATGCATTAACGTTAATCGAAGTAAATTTGAACGTGGTAAAATTAATGAAATAACCCTGTGTGATTTGTTGAAATAAATATAATAACCCGATGTGTCCTGACTTTTGGGCCACCCTGTATATCGGAATCAGAATCTTTATTTAGGAATCCGATGAGCTGTAAAGCTCTCTATCACAGACGTCTAGTTGGGGCGGGTAGTGTTTGGCGGTTGGAACGATCAGTGTGATCATGGCAAGGAAATCAATCAAGATCGGCACCCATATCGCAGTCACAGCGAAAGTCAACTTGGATGGCTAAGGGGCCGTCCATAAATGACGTCACGCAATTTTGGACGATTTTTGACCCCCCCCCCCCGTCACACGGCGTCACAAAAAGTCAGACCCCCCTCAAATATGACGTCACAAAGCTCTGCCCCCCCCCCCACCCAAAAAAATGTCAACATGCTTCAAATCGCTTTAAACTATTGTCATTGTAGTGCGCATTTAATGTGGCGCTGCACTCTGATATTGTAGGAGAAAACATTTATTAAAAAGTCTATTTAATTAATCAGAACGTGTTGTCTATATTTATTTAATGTTGCGCATTTCGATGTGACGTCACATTTCTCAACCCCCCCCCCCCCTCGTCACACATCGTCACAAATGTCTGCCCCCCCCCCCCTCTCAGGTGCGTGACGTCATTTATGGACAGCCCCTAAGGTCATGTCGGTTAGCGGCACCCAACTCGGACACGGCGTTCTCAAGCAGAGAGGTAACCCCACACGGGCAGGTGGATGGACGGCAGAAGCACCCAGCGTTGAAGGAGACTGAGAGGTCTGGAGAGAAGGGGGGTCCCAAGTGGCGAGACCGGGATGTTGCAGTGGTGGAGTGGATGTGGCGTTAATGGCCCAGTTCAGCAGTGAGAGGAGCAGGAAGGGTAGCAGGGGCCCTTTGAAATTGGGGGGGCGGGGGGGGAGGAGGGAGGGGGGACGATTCCAAAATCCACAGCAGTCGCCCTCAATCGCGCTCACCCGACGCTAATCGAAATAACGCAACGAGATTCCACATATCTATTTTATTTCAAAACAACTTAATTGTGACTACGTGAGTGATGACATCGCCGCGCGGTGCGACACGCGGTGCACCCCGCGTTCATCTCGGAGGCACCGGCCGGGTGTCGCGACCGCTGCTCTCCCCTTGCATTTAACATCACCTTCTGACATCCGTACAAAGTTGGTGATCATAAAAGGACTCGTGAACAGAAATCAACCGTGAACGGGGACATTTGCTGAAGTGCAGGTAACGCTGAGCAGTTACAACCTGAGTTTGGCGATACGGGAATTCAAACTGCGCCTTAGTTGCCGCGTGACTACGGCAACGCGATACTTGTAATCCATCACTCCCAGCACCGATCACAGATAGAGGGAGATGTCTGTAGAGAGTTTAGGGGACTGCTATGATCACAACCCCCCCCCTGCCCACCCCACCCCCCCCGAAGCCACCCAATGTTCCTGCAGGGCCCCGGGTCTAACACAGAGGGGCCTCGCTAATAAACAATCGGGCAGTTCGCCAGCGTTGCTTCAAGCAAGCCCGAGACGATGAATGTCAAAACCAGTCCAGAGTTGGCTCGTGCTGAACCCGTGGCGCCTTCTGAAAGATTCACTTTCAGAAGGCCGTGGTGGCAGGATGCGTCATGTGCTGCCCCGTATTTAAAATATTGTGTTAAAAACACAACAATCGATGCTGCGCGCTATAATAGCCCATGCTGTGAAGAAGGCCCATTGCCCGAAACGTCGCCTGTTATATATTTAACTCTTTCAGGCATCGCTGTTGACGCGTGTGTTGAGTTTTTGTTGTTGTTGTTCACTCACTGCAAACTGCATCGAGCACTCGAATACCAGCTGGAAGATGCCAGTTCGAATCCTGATTGGGGGTCAACAAACCCATCATCGTTATTTTGGGCTAGCTAAAATAGGTAACCCCTTTGTGGAATGTCCAATACTGAGACGAGTGCTTCCCCGTGCTTCTTTGGGCACGGAGATGCTTCGAGTTGACACGTAAAGCCACTTGGGTGAACACACAACAGCCTCCGACTATGGAAATTCCACATTCCCATGGCGTCGTGGTGATGGGGGGAAGGGCAGACAATCCGTGGGACAGCCACTGTTGAGTGTGGTTTTAATGAGGTTAAACCGGATGCCGAGGGGGTGAAGGGGGGGGGATTTGGAGGGTGATGGGGCTGAGCCCCTCCCCTCTCCCCTCCCATCAGCGTCTCCTCGTGAAGGAGACAAAGAGCGTTTGTGATGCAAAGGGCGAGCTCCCCGAGCTTTTATCAGCGCGGGGTCATCCCTCTCCCCTCTCCCCTCGCCAACACCCCTCCCCCCTGCCCCCTTATCTCCGCGCAGAGAGACGACGCAGCGAGACACGCTCCCGCGGCGGCGCGCGCGCGTGTGTGTGTACGTGTGTGTGTGTACGTGTGTGTGTGTACGTGTGTGTGTGTACGTGTGTGTACGTGTGTATGTAAGGAGAGTATGTGTGTATGTGAGAGCGGTAGTGTAGTGGTTAGCGCGCTGCTCTACAAACCTGGCGAACCGAGTTCTGTTCCCGCTCACGGCCAACACCAGTGACGATTATCTGAACCGTTCCTGGGCCTCTCCTAGGTCGACTCAGCCTCAAAATGAGTACGTGGTGCGATGTGTAAACATCGCCACTGGGGAGACAAAGGCAGCCGGGCGTGGTGTTGCCCACCTTATAGGTGCTCGCTAACAGCACTTGCCCCTACATTCTGTTAAGGCTATACGGGGGATCTTTGTCTTTTTTTGTATTAGAGAGTGTGTGCGTGTGTGTACGGGCGAGTATTGGGAGTGTGTGTGTACGGGTGAGTGTGTATGTGTACGGGTGAGTGTGCGCGTGTGTATGTATGTATGGGAGAGTGTGTACGTGTGTATTTGGGGGGGAGTGTGTGTGCGTGCGTGTGTGGGTGTATGGGAGAGTGTGTGTGTACGGGAGTGTATGTGTGCGTGTGTGTGTGTACGTGTGTGTTGGGAAAAATGTGTGTGTGAGAGAAATAGCGTGTGTGTATGTCTTTGTGTTTAGCGCCCTGCACAACGAACTCTGCGACCCGAGTTCGATTCCCGCTCGCGGTCAACACCAGTGACGATTATTTGAACCGGTCCTGGGCCTCCCCTAGGTCGACTCAGCACCAGGTACAATGAGTTCCAGGTGAGACAAGGCGGTATTAAGTGCCGGATTATCCTCGAAGCAAAAGTAGCTACAAATGCTTCGGGCCCGCACTTTCAAGGGCCCCGCGCTAAATGCTTTCAGGGTATCAATTCCGGTTCAGTGATTCTGCACTTGCCCTATTACTATAGTGCTATACTGCCTTCAACTTTTATGAACGACTGGGTGTTTAAGGTTAGCGATTTGTCGCATTATCTAGCTATATAGCAAATGAAAAATACAATTACTTCACTGTGCGAGTATAACAATTGTGTTTTAATGTGTGTTTTTTTTTATTTAGAGCCCCTTAATAACATATGCGACAGGCCCGCCGTACCAGATCTTTTTGTGTGTGTAGATGCTGGCTAACAGTACTTGTCCCAACATTCTAAGGCTAAACGGGGACATCTTCGTCTTTGTTCGAGAGCAGTGCTAGAGTGCTGTGAGCTGCTGGTCAGTCGGGCTCCAGCAACAGCCGAGGAGCGACGCTCACAACAACGATCTGAGCGCCGGGCGGCTACAGCGCGCAGTGGGGAGCGCAGGCGGTGCCGCTGCCGGTCGTCTCGGTCAACCCATGGACAGCACCCGTGACCTCCTCAAGGGTGCTGGCGGACCATTATCCAAACAATAACATTTAGTATAAGAAGGTCATGTATAAAGCTCACCTGCTATGCGCGCGTCACACCTTTATCATCTGCACAGCGATTTTACTTATTTTTGAATACTCTTTTTTTTCGTACGCATTTTTAAATAGTGTTGCTGCTGTTTACATCGTTCGTTGGCAATTTGCGCGAGCTGAGACAGAGAGAGAGAGAGCGACGCGGGAACGAAGAATGTCACCGCCACGCGCCTCCTCTGTGCATGGGTATGTGGTCAATGAAGCCGAATTCTTGACTTGACCTAGCCTGGCACGAGCGGTACTTCTCAAGGGGCCCGTCAACCAGGAGCAACGGCAGCGGTGGCCGGGGTCGGGACAGCAGTCCCAGGGCCTCACCTGCCGAGGATCTTGGAGACGCAGCCGTGGGAGACCCTGAGCTGGCGCGAGATGTCGCAGGGCCTCACGCCCTGGTGGGCCAACTCCACGATGCGCTGGCGCACCACGTCCGGCAGCGGCCGCCCGTTCACGAACACCCCGCCCAGCTGGTTGACGCCGCCATGCCCTGCCGCGCCCGCGGGGGCCACACGCACGCGCACATAAGACCTTAACGCGTGCACGCAGCGTTACAGACCTGGGCGCAGCACGCGCGTGCCGACCTGAATGGACGCACAAGCTGAACGCGTGCACACACGCTTACCGGAATGCACGCACGCGCACACACACACACTGGGACACATACGCACACATACACAACCTGAACACATACAATGTTTACACATACCGCAAACTGAACACGCACTTACACATACAACCTGAATACATGCACACGCGCATCCTGAACATATACACACACACAACCGGAACACACACACAGCGCCTTAACGCATGCACACACATACACAACCGGAACACACACAGACACGACCTTAACACATGGACACACACACACAACAACAACAACAACAACAAAAATACAAAGACCCCCCCCCCCTATAGCCTTAAGAGAATGCTGGGACAAGTGCTTTTAGCGAGCAGCAACGCAGGCCTGGAGAGAGTGGACGATGCCCAGCCGCCTTTATCTTCCCGGGGGTGATGTTTTACACACCGCACCGGGTAACATTTGAAGATATTCGAAGGCGTAGGATCGGTTCAGAAACTCGTCACCGACGTTGGCCCCAAGCGGGATGCGAACTCGGTGCTCGCGGTGACCACAACAGCAACGCACCACAACTTTCGTCGATTGCGGCCTTAAGCTGTGCTGTCCGTTGCTGACCGCTTGGCGTTTTGGACCTCTGCTCAGCAGCGGTGCACAGAGTACATACACACAGAGAATATATACACAGTATCGACACGCACACACACACAGTGCACACACCGAGTATACAGACACACAGAGTATGCACACACACACAAGAGTATACACAGTATACACATGTACGCAGAGTATACAGACAGAGCACATATAGACACACAGATTATATACACACAGAGTTTATACACGCACACAACACCTAACGCATTTGGGGAAACGTGTCTGGCGTTTCGGGCTATGACCCTTCTTGAGAGATTCATTTGTTGACCCCCCCATACATCCTATTAAGCGGCTGAGATCATTAATAAATGTGGGCCTTTAATTAATTGTCTATGTTTCAGCGGCACTGCCGATGCAATCCCTTCATCTTTTTGGTATCGACTGTGACTGAATTTGTTTTATCCTGCATACATACATATTTACGCACACGCACACGCACGGAGTGGAGCGGTGGCGCAGTGGTTAGCGCAACGCGCAATAGACGCCACGGGCCGTGTTCGGTTGCCGGTCAGGGCTGTGACTCACAATCGGCCGCGCGTGATATCTAAACCGGTCCTGTAAGACCTCTCACCAAACCAACCACCACTGGACCCGCGTGGAAAAGCATGGTCAAGTAACCCCCCCCCCCTCCCTCCCACAACGACCAGCACTGCGCGGCGAGCCTTTCGTCCAGCAGTGGATTGCCACGGGGCTGTGTACGTCGGTAAATTATCGTGCACCCGCTCTGCGAGCCACGGGGTTGCACGTGGGCACACACAAACACACGCGCTGGAGCTGGGTATCGACAGCGCTGTATGGGGGGGGGGGGGGGGGGCGAGGGTTGGTGGATCACGCAAAGATCGATGACAACCGACGCGGGCTGTGATGCGAGCAAGACGTGGCCAGTACAGCAAGAGGAGGGGTCGGCGAGGCGGTGTGCACGCGGAGGGGGGCGAAGCCGTCTCGTCGATTGAACTCCGCCGTGATAGCGAAAGCGTTCGATTGAGCGCAATTGGTCAGAACCATCGAAAAATTAGGCGTACGGTCTTTCCCAACAAAAAGAAACGCTCTCTTGTGTTGGCAAGAGCGTGACCTGAGCCGGAGACCGGACGATCACTGCTTGGGTCAGATTGCTCGCTGGAGATACCGGTTGACAGATGGATGGATGAGGATTTTATATTTATACTTTGTTAAAGTCGCCATCATACCGCGACCGATTTAGTGAAAGGAGATGAATGTTCGCAAGCGTCGTCATCATCGCCAGCATCACACAGCTGTCGATGTATTGGAAGATGTCTGTGCACCAATCTGAGTTGGACTGATGGGAATTGCGGAGAGGTGTTTTGGAGGCGCTCGAGGGCTGAAATTCAGTCGATGCACACGAATAGAAACATCCTAAAACTCTATAATTGTCGTGTAATCTCAACCACTAAGCATAGGGCAAAGGAGGCTGATGCATTCTTACTCACGGGGCAGGGTCAGCCAAAGTCCCCCGCTAAACAATTACAAGGACGCGGGACCCATCGTCAGTGAACCGAGTAATTCGCCTCCCGTGGAGTGTGACTCTACAGCCGATAAAAAGCGGACCCAATCCGGACACCAAGTACTCCTGCAGAGTGTTCATGCGTCCGTGCTGGATACGGATATAAGTACGTGCACGCACACGTGTTAATATACACGCACGGTGTGGATAATATTAATTGAGAACGCAATGCACAATCTACACATATATAGTTAGTTAATACCAGTTGCCGGTGTGTGTATATATACGTATGTGTTTACGATGCTTCGTAAATATTACTGTGTACACCATGTGTTTATAAACGTATAAAAATAAGATATAATAAGCATTTATAGACCAATGTAACTATATTGTATATATAAAGCATGTACCTACTCCGTATAAAGTATCATGTATGTAAATAGACCAAGCATATACAAATACAATTAGTATAAGAGCGTAGACACTCCCACCTACATACAAAGACACAGATCCCCCGTATAGCCTAAACAGACTGTGGGGGCAAGTGTTGCTAGCGAGCACCTATGAAGGCCGGCACGGCACACGAGGGGGTGGGTGGCCAGCACCACCCCCGGCCGCCTTTGTCTCTCCAGTGACGATGTTTACACATCGCACCGGGTACTCATTTGAGGCTGAGTCGACCTAGGGGAGGCCCATGACCGGTTCAGATAATCGTCATTGGTGTTGGCCGTGAGCGGGAATCGAACTCGGGTCGCCGGGTTCGTAGCGCAGCGCGCTAACCGCTACACTACCGCTCCCCACACCTATACAATCATACACACACATATACACTCCTGCACTCCTGCATGCACGCGGTATATGAAAGCATGTACTTGCATGTAGACGCATATACACTGTACGTGCGAGTGTCGTGGTGTACTCCCGTGTGCGTTCAGTACGCCGTGCGCACGCGGAATGCACGGGGAGCGAGCCCTGCCCCCGGGGCACGGGAGTTCATCTAGTCCCCTAAACTTGCGGGACACAGACACACAAAAACACACACACAACAGAGACGGAATTATTCCGATTTTCTAAAAATACTGCCGATTTTCCGGGTGACAGGAAGGTTTTCTGCACGCTGTCACTTAAAAAAAAATGTGCGTGCAATACAGAAATTTCTACAAGATGTATCCTAATCGCCATCATTATGCCATTGTGCAATGTATGTCGGGTTTTTTTTTTCATTGAATTAGGACAATGGATGACTATTTCTTCAATCGGGTCGGTCGGCCGAAACGTCGGCGTATTATTATTTTCTTCTTCTCTGTGTCGTTACAATCCGTTCCTTTTTTTAGTTTTTAATTCGCCTTGTCTCTCGTTTGTCCAAGGCCACTCCGCCGCGCCTGATCCCGCGGGGTCAAAAAACAAAAATGTCTTGAGAAGGAGAAATCGCCCGCGATTGCATTCATCTTAGCGCCATGGACAGCTGCGTTTAACTGCTACTGTCATAACGGATAAGCATTATTTAAACAACAAAACACTTAAGTCGGATTGTAATTAAAGTCTGCACTGTGTCGGGCAGTGCCTATGATGTGTGTGCACGCGTGCGTATGGGGGGGGGGGGGAGCGGTAGTGTAGTGGCCTGCGCACTGTGCTACAAACCCGTCGGACCCAAGTTCAATCTCCAGTCGAGGTTTCACACCAGTGGCGAATGAGATCTGAACCTGCCCTCGGTCTTCACCAGGTTGGCCAGCCTTTGACGAAGTAACAAAGAGGGTTTGGTGGTTCCGTGCCGACCACTATAGTGGCTCGTTAACAACACTCTCCATGTTACTCTCTTGAGTGTATATATATATACATACAAATTAATATGATTCAAATATAAGTTTAAATAACATGCTGTAAAATTTAAACTGACTTTTCAAGGTACAGTATAAATAGTATCCAACTTCCGACCAAATGGTTTTCGAGGTTAATATTTAAAATGTTCAAATTAACGGAACTCAACAATGGGGGTTCACGTTCCTAGAACTCATTAACGAAATGTCGCAACTTAAACACAACTAAAAATCCAAGATGTACATTCAATCAATCGGGAAAGTTGAGTCGAGCGCCCTTCTAGACTTAAATTATATCTTTCACGAGAGACATGCGAGACTTATATTGAGTGATATCCTCCACAGAGCGTTACGCGTGTATCCACATCACTTCACAATATACTACATATATATTACTATATACATATTGCATTCGTTTAACGGACTACATTCTGCCCACGGGTCTCGGAAAGTCGAATCCCGAACTGCGTACGCTACTGAAGTAAATGCTCCTGCATGTGTGCACGCGCAGCGTGTGTGTGCAAGAGACGCGTGTTTGTCAATTTCGCCATCCGTCTTTGTCTTCCCACGAAATATTTTTCTGCTCTTTATCCCAAGTGCAGCGAGGGATCATTTGTCTCTGGCGCTGAGTATAAATGTCATGCATCGCTATAGAAGGGATGCTGCATCTAAACTGGACCCAACGAGCAGACAATGATGAGAAGGAAACTGGAACAATGTGATAACATATGTAGGTTGGATAACAGCAGGAAAATGTAAAGTGTGTTGTTGTTCAGAAAAATGGAAGTAACCAGCAAGAGAGGAAGGCCTAAGGCAGAAAGGCTTGAAGGCGACAGACAGAGATTGGGGCCAGAGATGTGGCACAACTTGAGCTTATTGACAGAAGACGAAACGTGCAGTGGACACCTACGGCCGATCTGCCCATGGATCGTGATGATCATGATGATGACGACCCAGGATAGCCTCGCTGAGTCTCAAGACTCTTCGTCACGAGGGTCCTGCCGAGTATCCACACTAGGGGGACGATGGCTGTCACGTGATTATATTCCTAAAAGAGTCATTTGCGGGATTTTTGTTTATTTATTTGCCAAACTTAGTGCATGATTCTGGCACACGATGGCCAGCTCTTGTGAATTACGTCACGGGATCTTTAACGTCCACTGTAAAGCAGATGGCGTCTAGTATTTATACGCTTAATACGCCCGAAGTAATAACCGGGACGGACGCTGGATTCGAACCGTGCGACCGTCCAGTGTCCTGGCGCTGTGGCTGCGACTGCGCCAAAACTCGCCAAGCCAGCACGGTATTTTTTTATGCCGGAGATCTGAGCAGCGGTTGTTCTGTGGGTATACCGTCCCTCGCCAAAGAAATGTGGAATTTCCACCACTGCCCAATGCTCATAAAAAAATTACAATTCTGAAAAATATTTTACTTTGTGTTCGATCGTGCGGGTATCGTGTCAATGTTGAACTATAACCCTCCACCAAAACTGCTATTACATCTCCACGACCTAACCGATAAGGAACTCAATATCGACCGTAATAACATTGGCCGTGAAAGCCTACGGGTAAAGGTACTGCAAAGCTGTACACACCCGTGGTGTGCATTGGCGCATCCGTGCAGGTCACGCCCTGGAGATAGCATAACGAGGTCGTAAAGAGACAGGACGCTCGTCCACACACACGACACATGGACACACACACACACACGTGCACGCGAATAAACACCACGCGCATACACCAGTTCGCACAACATACACGCGTACGAGACACAAAGACAACGATCGCCCGTTTAGCCTTTACAGACTGTCGGGACAAGTGCTGCTGCTGTCAGCGAGCGCCTATGAAGGCTGCCGGGACGTCGTCTGTGGCCGTGGTGTTCCCTGGACCACGCCAGGCCGCCTTTGTCTCTCCATTTCTTTTTTATGTTTACACTTCGAGCCAGATGCATTTAATCGGTGTTTTATTTGTTACACTGAAAGTCCCGTGTAGCCAGTTACCCAGTTAAGTTTTCGTCATACGAGAGGTCCAGGACTGGAGCAGATATTACTCGCCGTCAGTGCTACCCGTCGTCTGGACTCCAACTCAGGTGGCCGGGTTTCGTAACGCGCTGCGCTCGCCGCTCCCCCACACGCGCCGGCGAGAGAGTTGTCGCACGTGGTCGCGGCGGTTCGATTCCCACTCCCGTCTCGACAGCCAATTCATTAAAACCTCCGAGGGCCGTTCCCGTATTTTCGCGAATATTTGCCACGCCGTCATTAAGCCACAGCGCCCCCCGATGCAACGTGGACGTGTCAGAGAGTCCGTGGCGACATTGGCAAGAGTGGCCCACTGTGTGCCGAGTTTCGTATCCACTTGCACGGTAGTTTGGAGGAAAAAAAATAAAAACCGGACGTTAAACGATTGCATTCATTTCCACGTTTGCAACTTTAAAATTTGATTATTTTTTTATCCGACAGTTGTGAATAATCCATCGCGGAGTTTTTTTGTTTGTTTTTGCCAGCTCTCCGTGACGAGCGAGTTGTAGAGGGTGTGAATGATTCCCTCGCCTGGCTAAATGAAGGGAGTTTAATTGCGTGAGCCACGGTAGCCTGCGCTCGCATTTAACGTCGCTTGAGAAAGTTTACATCGGAGGAGAGCGTCCGTCGACCGCATTTACCCCCCCCCCACCCGTGTCGTTTGTACAGATTGCAAGGACCAAGAGCAGTTTGAGAGCGCCTATTAAAGGCGGTTCCCACCCATCCGCTGATGTTCATAACCGCGCTGATACTGCAACAGCATTGCGCTGAGTGGACCTACGGGAGGGGTAGGCCCGGTAACATCAGGAGGAGTGCTAACCACTACGCTACCGCTCCCCATGCATACTACAAAGACAAAGATCCCCCGTATAGCCTTAACAGACTATTGGGGGGGGGGGGCAAGTGCTGTTAGCGAGCACACTACACACAGACATACACACGCACATACACACGCACATACACACACACATGCACACAGACATACACACACATACACACAGACACACAGACATACACACGCACATACACACGCACATACACACACATACACACATGCACACAGACATACAAAAACAAAGACAAAGATCCCCCGTATAGCCTTAACAGACTGTAGGGGCAAGTGCTGTAAGCGAGCACCTATGAAGGCCGGAACGGTACACGAGGGGGTGGGTGGCCAGCACCACGCCCGACCGCCTTTGTCTCCCTAGTGGCAATGTTTACACACCGCACCAGGTACTCATTTGAGGCTGAGTCGACCTAGCGGAGGCCCGGGACCGGTTCAGATAATCGTCACTGGTGTTGGCTGTGAGCGGGAATCGAACCCGGGTCGCCAGGTTCATAGCGCAGCGCGCTAACCGCTACACTATCGCTCCCCAGACATACACACACATACACACAGACACACAGACATACACACAGACATACACACACACATACACACACATACACACAGACATACACACACACATACACACACATACACACACATACACACACACACATAGACACAGACATACACACACATACACACAAACACATACACACACAGACATACACACATACACACATACACACACAGACATACACACATACATACACACAGACATACACACACATACACACATACACACACAGACATACACACACATACACACATACACACAGACATACACACATACACACACACACATGCACACAAACAAGAGCATCTATAAATGAATCGCCACATAGGCACGGGGATGGAGCGGTGGTATAATGGCTAGCTAACTCCACTGTGAACCCGGTCGCCCAAGTTCGATTCCCGGCTAGGGCTGGCGTTAGTGGCAACGGTCCTGCCCTCTCCCACCGTCAGCGAACCCGCACTGACCAGTTTGGTGAAGTATGGCGAAACTAAAATCCCCTCCCCCCCCATTGGCGACACGGCGTTGGGGAGGGAGCTCTTCGTCCATTTGTGCAGGAATTGACAATATCTGGAACTGGTTTTGTATTCAATATGAATACGCACACAACGCACGTTTACAACACGCAACTTGAAAGTCCACATTGTCGTAACCTCACCTCTGTCGGGTCTTGAGGCTCTGCATAACTCATTGTGCCCGGGCATTAGCGGACAAAGGGCCCCACAAATGCGCTCGCCGCAAAATACCTGCAGCCTTTGTCGAAGCGTCGCGACTGACTGCTACACACATCAACCTCACACGGGGGGGGGGGGGGGGGGGGGGGGGGGGGCGGCTTACGGCAACAATAATATTAATAATGGCGTGAGCGTTGTCGTTTGAAAGAGCACGTTCTCGCCGAGCCTGGCTTTGATGTATGGGGGTCGCTTAGGAGCGTTTAGAGAAAGGGAGGGCTCTCGTCCCTTTGACTGTGGGTGCGCGTGCACAACGAACGATAAGGCATCTCTCATGGGCAGCGGCGGCCAGGATAGGGTCACAAAGTTGGTAGGTACGGCATAGGCGGCAAACCGTTGCGTGTGTAATCAGCGTGCGGTCAGTGGAGGAGGAGCAGGAGGAGCTGTGGGTGATGGTTGGGGTAAGCGGGGGGGGGGGGGTGAACGCGCGCGCAGGATGGAGGAGGATCGAGTAAACAACTTGGGTAGGTCAGGAATTGAACGCGGCCCGGAAATCGCCGTCGACGTGTGATCAGAGCGAGTGGTGGGATGGGTGCGGCACGTGTGCGGGATGATGGAGGAGTAAGGGGATAGGGTGAGCAAAGTTTGTAGGTCGGGAATAAACGGTGGCAGGCAATGCGCTGTGGGTGCAATCAGAAGCGGGGGGAGGGGGGGGGTAGTGATGGGTGGGACGCGTGGATGTGCAGGATGGGGGAGGAGGGCAGGTTACCGAAACAGGCATCGGAGTGGCACCCCGAGGTCGGCGACCATGGGGTGGAGATGACACTGTAAGACGAGTCCTTGGAGGTCAACTGTGCAAGTGTTGCGGAATCTAGCAAAAGGAAGGAAGCGATGACGAGGGTTTGGTGGCGTCAGCGGCTGACCCCCATGACCTTGACCTCAAGGAGTTAGACAATACCCAACTGAACACGTGACTCACAGCCAAGACTTGCACGGAACGGACCAGGTCAGAAACGATGGTTCGCGAAACACGCGCCGAGTAATGCTCGTGCCGCCGTTCGTCCCGTGGGTCACACGCGCCTCGGCAAACATCGGCGTTCGCTTTCGCCCACGGCCCCCTCCACGGCGTGCTTTAGGCCTACTCTTCCACGCTGATCCGGCCGTCTCGTGAGAGGCGGGGACTACCCACGTTTTAAGCCCACCGCAACGTCGACTGACTTGCGGCGCAAACCGTTCGCTGTTGCCGGCTGGACAGAGGCCGTGTTGGCTGTGGGTGGCTATGGGTGGCTGTGGGTGGCTGTGGTTCGATTCAATAAACTTGCAGCGTCGTCCCCAACTGACGCGCCGCCGTGAGATGGGACCGGCGCTCTCCGTTGCTGGGACCGGGGCAGGAGCACGTGACTAGGACGTTAATTGTCACGACGCCTCTGTTGTTGTTTTTTTTTTAAACCGGTGCTAATTCTTCCGTTAAACATGGAAATCACTCGCGCGGATTCGTGAATTATCTTAGACACGCGCGGTGTTAAAGCCAAATTTCCCCGTGGTTGCCCTTTTCCTCTGCCGCTGTTAGCAAAGACAAAGATCCCCCCGTATAGCCTTCACGGACTGCTGGGGCAAGCGCTGTTAGCGAGCACCTATTACCCGGCGCACGGGCGCGTGGATCGAGCCTCGCGTGTAGGCCACTGCTGATGTTTTTTTTTCTTTCACACAGTTACTTATTCAAGGCTGAGTCGACCTAGGAGACGCCCACGGCACGCTGTTCAGAAAAACCCTCGCCGCCGGGGTGGCGCAACGAGTTGGAGCAACGCCGCGTGCGTGGCAGAGTACGCTAACCACTGCGCCACCGCTCAACCCCTCCCACCGTGTAGTGTGCACACAGCTCAGTACACGTGCAAACATTACTCACGATCATTATGTATAAACTGGCACAATACATTATTATATTGCACGCGTAAACTAATATTACGTAATCCAATATTATAACACGATCTGGGGGTGGGGGGGTGGAGCGGTGGTACAGCGGTTGGCGCACATTGCGCTATGAATCAAAGTGGTTCAGTTCGATTCCTAGTCATGGCTAACATCAGTGGCGAGGTACGTCTGAAACAGTCCTGACACCACCATCCCCCCGCCCCCCAACTTACACCCCTCCCCCCCTCCCAGCGTGGTGAAGTATGGTCAAACAATACCCGTGGCAGATAATGTGCGGGGAGGCTTTAATCCAGCAGTGGATTAACAAGGGGCTTAGCCTTCACGTAATTACACAAGCCACAATGAAATTAATTCAAAGCTTAAAAAATACGGCTCATACAATACATACACACACGTACCGATACGTACATATGCACACGTGCACTACAGAGAGACACACACACACACGCGCGCGTGGACACACGAAGCGTGGCCGTGAGAGATGGCCTATCCAACAGTGGATAGGCCATAGCTAATGAGGAAGCAATGTGCAGTGTATCACATGCGCAAATCCACCCTCATTCGATCACATTTACACATTTTATATATGTAACATTTATAATCATATACGTATAAACATATATATAACCATGCATACGCATTATATATCATTCTTAACGTGCGCTAAGCAGGAGAGGGCTCTGATTCATCAGCGATGTTAAAACGATATAATAGTCCCTGCGCTCGACTCATAATTCTCGGGGGGGGGGGGAGGGGGGTAAATAAAATAGGTACCACTTTGTGGCACGTCAAGCGGTCATCGCGGGGGATGTGATTCCCCTCGCCATACGAAGGTGGAATGTCCACCGCTGGCTCTGGGACGAGTGGGAGACGCTTGAGGTCCAACAGTCCCCGCGGGCTGTCGTGGACAACGCGAAGCAGTGACCGAGACTCGTGTCACTTGCGCGTCCCACGGGGAACGGTGGCGCAATGGTGAACGCACCGCGCTACAGAAACCGGGCCACCTTACGTTTGATTCATGGCCACGGACGACACCGTTGGTGAGCGATATCTAAACCGGCCACGGGTCTCTCCTAGGTGGACTCGGCTTAGAATTAGTCCCAGGTGCGATGTGTAAACATCGGAGACGTATAAAAGCGAGCTGGGCGTGGTGTTGGCCACCCAACCCCGCGTGCATCGTACCGGACTTCATAGCTACTCGCTAACAGCACTTGTCCCTCACCCACCCCCCAAATCTGTTAAAGGCTACACGATGGATCTTTGTCTTTGCGTGTGCGCTCGCGCGCGCGTAATCAGACCCCGTGGTAAATAGCGCGCCTCGGTGCTGTTGAGTGACTTGGCGGTTAGGCTACGGGGAGGGGGACCCAGGGCTTAGGAATAATCTAAAGCACACAGAATCCATCAATTAAAACCAACACGGGCGCGCGCGCGAAGACGTCGCGTTCACAACGCGTGGGCTAATGTAGCGTGGCAGGCGCGGGTGATTTGAATTGGAATATAAAACATTTTTGAAAGCGCGTGCATTTGATTTTGTTGTTGTTGTTGTTGTTATTGTTCTTGGGAGGCGGGGGGAGGGAGGGGGGCGTTGTTAATTCCAGCAGCCGCCCGCTAAATCGTTGGCAATTCGTAAGGCGTAATGAAAGGTTAGCGAGTCGTCCGGACGAGGAGCAAGCGACTCGACACGCGAGCGATCTCACGCAAAGATCGCGCGTGCAGCCTTCGATAGATTAGTGGAGCAAGTGCTGTTAGCGAACAACTATACGAAGTTATTATCGATGATATCGGTCGCGAAAGCCTACGTGTTAAACTGACCCATATGAAGGCCGACACGGCGCACGATGGGGTTGGTGGCCAACACGACCGGTTCAAATATCAGTCGATGTTATATTGTCATATCGATCGGGAGTGGGAATTGAACTCGGCTCGTAGCGCAGTGCGCTCAACACTGCACCACCGCCGCGCCGGACACACGTACAAGCGCTGCCGCACACGACAAACACACTACCACACACAACGCATTTTATGCACGCTGCAAAAAAACTAAAGACAAAGATCCCCTGTATAGCTTTCGACAGACTGTTGGGGCAAGTGCTGATAGAAAGCAGAACCTATTAAGGCCGGAACGGCACGCACGCTACCACAGACACTCACACATAAACTCACGCACATATAAACATTATCATACGTACAAAAGACCAATATACCCCGTATAGCCTGAATCGACTTTTGGAACAAGTGCTGTTAGCGAGCATCTATGAAGGCCGGCACGGCACACGAGGGGGTTGGTGGCCAGCACCACGCCCGACCGCCTTTGTGTCCCTAGTGGCGATTTTTACGCATCGTACCAGGTACCTATTTGAAGCTGAGTCGACCTACGGGAGGCCCAGGATTCAGATAATCGTCACTGACCATGAGCTTGAGAACCGAACTCGGGTGGCCGGGTTCGTAGCGCAGCGCGCTAGCCGCTACACTACCGCTCCCCACACAGAAACAATAACAGAGATCTCCCGTATAGCCTTTACAGACTTTTGGGGGCAAGTGGACGCACACCCACAATCGATCGCACGCACGTTCTGCCACACACACATTCACCCGTGTACACAACCACATACACACACCGCCAAACGTCCACACGCACTCCGTTACAGCACACTGATAGACAACACTGGCACACACTCTACCGCACACACGCACTTGTTCACAAGCACACACGCACACACACGCAAGCGCACAAAGACAAAGGTTCCCCGTTTTACAGCTTTAGTGCCCTTACCGCTCAAGAGGGGTGGACGTGGCTAGCACCACGCGTGGTCGCCTTTGTTACCCCCGGTGCTGTTGTTAACACTCCGCAGCAGACACGTGTGTGTGTGTTTAAGGCTGAGTCCACCTAGACCCAGGACGGTTCTAATAACGCGACGCGCCACTGGCGTGGTCGAGAATCGAACTCCCTTCGGTGGCGCCGACAGCCACGATAACAATTGGCGTTCACACTCTCTCCCAAAACACCACCAGCTCCAACACCCTCAAATACACACACACACATTCACACTCTCTCCCAAAACACCACCACCAGCACCAACACCCTCAAATACACACACACACATTCACACTCTCTCCCAACACCACCACCACCAGCACCAACACTCTCAAATACACACACACATTCACACTCTCTCCCAAAACACCACCAGCACCAGCACCCTCAAATACACACACATTCACACTCTCTCCCAAAACACCACCAGCACCCTCAAATACACACACACATTCACACCCTCTCCCAACACCACCAGCACCAACACCCTCAAATACACACACACACATTCACACTCTCTCCCAAAACACCACCAGCAGCACCAATACCAACACCCTCAAATACACACACATTCACACTCTCTCCCAACACTACCACCAGCTCCAACACCAACACCCTAAAATACACACACACACACATTCACACTCTCTCCCAAAACACCACCACCAGCACCAACACCCTCAAATACACACACACACATTCACACTCTCTCCCAACACCACCAGCACTAGCACCAACACCCTCAAATATACACACACACATTCACACTCTCTCCCAAAACACCACCAGCACCAACACCCTCAAATACACACACACACATTCACACTCTCTCCCAAAACACCACCACCAGCACCAATACCAACACCCTCAAATACACACACATTCACACTCTCTCCCAACACTACCACCAGCTCCAACACCAACACCCTCAAATACACACACACACATTCACACTCTCTCCCAACACCACCACCACCAGCACCAACACCCTCAAATACACACACACATTCACACCCTCTCCCAACACCACCAACACCCTCAAATACACACACACACATTCACACTCTCTCCCAAAACACCACCAGCACCAGCACCAACACCCTCAAATACACACACACACATTC